AAGCCGGGATGCAAGAAGGATTCACCCGGTTGGCCAAAGCTATTGAACGAGCTGTGGACGAACGAGCGGATATAGCGCCGAGGCAAGCCCAAATCTCCCGATCTTCAGCGGCGAAGCAAGTGAATGGCTAGCGTTTAAGGCGGCCGTAGACCAGTCTACAAAGACGTACAGGATCACACCAGCGGAGAACCTGGCCAGGCTGAGGGCCTGCTTACGTGGAAAAGCGAGAGAGACAGTCGCAGCGTTACTCGTATCCGCTACAGAACCGTCGCAGATCATGAGGACGTTGGAGCAGCGGTACGGCCGGACAGAGGCCATCATCGACCGCGCCCTCAAAGATCTGAGAAGGATGCCGGTAATAGGAACATCGACAACAGAGGTGATTGACTTCGCCATTAAACTACAGAACATCACCACCATCGTCGCGGATATCGACAGGGGGGCGAGATTCCTACATAATCCCGCGCTTGAGAGTGAAGTGTCAGAGAAGTGACCCCTCACTTACAGGTCCACTGGTGTCACTACGCTGAAAAAAACAAGGAGGACACTAGACCTACGATCATCAAGATGGCAGAGTTTTTAATGAGCGAAGCCGATCTCATGACCCGACATCTACGAATAGCATCACCAACGAGACGAACGAGCGCGCTACCCACGAAGCAGCCCCGAAGCAACCCACTAGGCAACCCATACCGAAAGCAACGATGTCGGCACCTCGGCGACAGATGACGGATTGGCGCGGCCGTATACGCCGCCGTAGAAAAGAGCGAACAGAGTACCGAATGTCTCTGTTGCGGCGCCGCACACGTAACGCCGAAGTGTAAGAAGCTGAACGACATGTCGTTATCGGACAGATGGGAGTGGGCGAAAACAAATAAGATGTGCTTCCAATGCATGAACAGCACGCACAGAAGGTTCAAGTGTAAGGCTCGCAAATGTGGTGTGAGAGAGTGTCGTAAGCCACACCACGCCCTGCTGCACCCCCAGAAGAACCGCCGAAGCGGCAAGAGGACACCGCGATTACAGCCGCAGCACGCTTGCCAGAGAACAGCCCAGTGTTGTTAAAGGTGTGTCCCATCATCGTGAAAGGCAAGACGGGACGCGAAGTAGAGACGTACGCGATGCTAGATGAAGGCTCGACGGTTACACTCATCGATGCGGAGATCGCAGAACAGATCGGAGCCGAAGGTCCGACGCGATCTCTGAGAATTCAGGGAGCGGCCTCGAGCTGGCACGAAGCCTCGCCGAGTGGCTGATGTCATCATCAGAGGGCGACACCATACGGACGAAGAACACTCGGTGAGGGCGCGTACGATCCGGGATCTTAGGAACGCAGCGAGTGAACCCGGAAATACTCGCGTACGGACACCTGCGACAACTCACTTGCGACCAAGTGTGCTACGAAGATGCCAGACCCAAGGTCTTGATCGGGTCAGACAACTGGCATCTGATTGTTACGCGGAAGCTGCTCATAGGAAGGCACAATCAACCCGCAGCGTCGCTGACACGACTGGGATGGGTCATCCACGGAACGGTACCCAGAAGTGTCGTGGAAGACGAGGAACATGTCCTCCACGTGCGGTTGACACAGCGCAACGCCGAGCCAGACATGCGGCATATAGAGGGCATAATAAAAGCGCATTACGACATCGACGCGTTGGGTATATCGTCGAAGAGATTACCCATCGCTAAGGAGAGCGCGCCGTCGCCACATTCAACCGCACAGCGACGAGAGTGGATGGACGATACGTCGTAGGATTGCCGTGGGAGAGAGATAACGTCGTTCTACCTCCCAGCTACGACATGGCAGCGAGCCGACTGAGGGGAATAGAGCGGCGGATGGATCGCTCTACGGAATTCCGGCTGGCGTATACCGCGGAGATAAACAAGTTGTTGGACAAGGGTTACGCCGAGAAAGTAACCGACGACCGGTTCAACAACGACCGCGCGTGGTACCTTCCCCATTTCGGAGTGACGAATTGAATAAACCCGGAAAACTGCGACTCGTATTCGACGCCGCGGCCCGTTCGAAGGGAATGTGCTTGAACGACGTACTGCTGGATGGGCCAGATATGCTACGGTCGCTTAACGGTGTGTTATACCGTTTCCGCGAGAAGCCCGTAGCTATCACGGCAGACATACGAGAGATGTTCCTGCAGATTAAGATACGGGAAGAAGATAGAGCAGCACAACAGTTTCTGTGGCGAGGAGATGACAGGATTAACCCGCCGCAGAAATACGTAATGACCTCAATGATTTTCGGGGCGAGGAGTTCACCGTTCATCGCACACAGCGTTCGAGACAGAAACGCGGCAGAGCACCGAAGTCGCACCCGTCAGCGTAATAACAAGGAACCACTACATGGACGACTGGGTCGATAGCTTTGACTCCGAAGAGGAAGCAGCCCGCGCCATACGAGAGGTAGTAGAGGTTCATGGCGGGATGGGATTCACGCTGGCGGGTTGGAATACAAACCGACCGAGCCTGCTAGAGAATGTGAGTGAGGACCAGCGAGCGAGGACGCCGAAGGAACTGGGAGCCAACGCACATCCATACGGAAAGACATTGGGGTTATTGTGGATGTCAGCCGAAGACCAGCTGGCGTTCAACACCGGCATGCCACGCGTCCCACGAGAAGTGAAGCAGGGCACGCGGATACCGACGAAAAGGGAAGCCTTAGGAGCGGTGATGTCATTGTTCGACCCGCTCGGGCTGCTGAGCTCTTACACCATCACGGCAAAAATCATCTTGCAGGCGCTGGGGGTGCAGAAGGTCGAATGGGATGACTCTCTGCCCGCCGAGGAAGCGCGGATGTTCCAGGAATGGAGAGATGACTTAGCCTATATAGAGGAACTGAGATTGCCGCGATGGTATGGCACGAACGACAGCCAACGGTCGCAACTGCACGTATTCACGGACGCAAGCGAACAGGCATATGCCACAGCCGCGTATTGGAGGACGGAACGCGAGGATCGTAGCGTTAACGTCGTCCTGGTAGCAGCCAAAGCGAGGGTAGCGCCCATGAAAGCGCAGAGTATACCCCGGATGGAGCTTCAGGCGAGCCTGGTAGGACCCCGACTGGCCGCTGACGTACTGAAAGGACGTCGTCATCTCTCCGAAGAAGACGCTACATTGGACTAGGAACGACACCGCTCGATACAATCCACATGCGGCCCGCCGGATGGCAGAAAGCGCCGAACATACAGAACCAACACAGTGGCGCTGGGTACCGACCGCCCACGACGTAACTAACGACGCGACCCGCGCGAGATATACAATACGGACCGCCGCCGACAGATCCGTCGGGCCGGCGCTTTTATACGCTCCAGAGAAAGAACGACCCAAGGAAAGCAAGCCCGTCCCTGCAGAGACAGTAGCCCGTGTCCGGGCGAAGGCAAAGCACCGTAATGGACAGAATGCGGTTCTCCTCATCAATTTCAATGACCGAGTGAGGAGGACTGCACAGGTGCTGCTGGTCGCAGAAGAATACAGGCGACGGGCATGGAAGCTGGGCCGGGAGCGCCCCGCCGACGCGGGTAATTGGGTCATGTGGGGTTGCGGTGAACGCGGACGGCCGGACGGACGCGAGGGAATTTTTCGAAGGCCGACCCGAAGGCTGGTGGTCCTCCCTAGGGATAAGGGCTGCGAAGATCTGCGCCGGGGGAGGCTGTTGCGGACCACGAGTCGGCATCGAAAATATGTAAACAAATTTGTGTATAAATTTGTATTTTTCCAGTGTTTTGACTATTGTTTAGGTTAGACTATTGTTTGTACCATATACCCTTTGTAGCGGCATAGATACTGTGAATTCTATGTCCGCCCATTGTGTAAATTCTTAGGGATCACAGCTTTAGTGTAGCCTGAACATGTGGCATTTAGTCGCACGTGGTTTTTTGTAGTTTTTTGTGTTGTTACTATTGTATTTAATTTTAAATGTGTGCGTATTCGCTGTTCCGGCCCGTCGGTCACCGACATGTGCAGGAATTGTCGGGAGGGTGGGACGGCCGACGCGCACGGCTCGGCGGGGGTGGGGAAGGACGCGCTCGGGTGCCCGTAAAAGGCGGGTTGGTTCTCGATCGCGCTCTCTTACGCATACGCCACCGACGAAGAACCACCGCCGGCGCAACGACCAAGAAAACCCCACTCCGGCCGGCCGACCCATAGAATAAGAAACAAATTGAAATACAGTCCACACATATTGAAAATCGAAGATCTTTTAATTGTGTACCCCACATGGAATGAAGTGAATGATGTGAATAAAGTGAATGAAGTGAATGAAGTGAATGTAGTGAATGAAATGAATGAAATGACGAAATGAATGAAATTCTAAAATTGAAATGAATGAAATGAATGAAACGATTGAATTATTGAAGTGATTGAAATCAATGAAGTGATTGAAGACAATGAAGTGAATGAAGTCAATGAAGTAAATGAATACAATGTCAATGTCAATGAAGTAAGTGAATGAAGTGAATTAAGTGAATGAAGTGAATGAAGTAAATGATGGGAATGATGTGAAGTGAATGAATTTTAAGAAGTTTTCTGTAACGCAAACTCACCCATAGAATTAGTTACATACACTAAAAACTAAGTCTATGGTCTCATCTATATCAGCCGCCATGCAGCTTGCGTTGTAAGCTGTATTCATAAACTATACAGAGATGGCTTTCGTTTGAAGGGTGGGGATAAAATTATTGAGTGAGGGCAGTGAAAGTTGTGCAATTGTTGAATATAAAACTCCTGTTGTATTGCCAAATGCTAATACTAAATAATAAATAAATATAACTGTTCGGTTTTGTGTTTTTTAGAAAATAATTCCATTTAACTCACACCATACAAACCCTGAAATCCTCGCGCCCATATATTCTAATAGTCCTCCGTAATTGTAACGCATATCAGAAGCATGACATATAAAAAGATGTCCGTGGTGTGTTAAGCTTTTTGGATATAACTTTACTTGTGTTTCCAGTTACGTAAAATAAAAAATGGCTTTTTTTCAGGCGAATACCATGGCGACCCGCGTAAATTCTGGCTGCGTCTCACTAAAGTGCGCGACGTCGTCTGTGTAAAATATTCCACAGATAAAGTAAAATGGACTCTACTTAGACTGTGCCAATTTCCCGTATCTGAGAAATATTTCGTTGGCTTGATGTGCTGTACCCCTCAACGGCAAGGTTTAGAGGTTAAGTTCAGCGATGTATCTGTTTCTGTGCCCAATAAGGATATACTACATTCAAATTAGGTACCATCTACACGTCATACCAATTTCAGTCATTTTGACTCCTCCCTCCCATGTCACAGCTGGTCAAAATTTCATCCTCGTTGCCATATAATAATAGCAAGACCTTCTGTGTAAAAAGATGTTTAGTATTTCTCGAATATTCGATTGATTAAACAATTTAATTAAAAAATCGACTAAAGTTACCCCATTCATTCTATTATTACTTTAATCTGTGGGCTAATTATGTAACTTCGTTCGCAACGATTTTCGTATGTAACGTAGTGAAAATGAGGTCATCTGTCAATAATGCGATCATATAGACGCCATTTGACGCTGTCAACTAGCATTGCAACGTATATATTTACATATCGATAAAAATTATTTCTATCGAATGTCGATTTAGTAACCTCGTTGCAACGTCACGTAATCGCTATTTTGCCGAAATGACAGCGTGGAATTGAAACGGTTTTTACATTATGAGAAACAATTTAGAAGGTGTTTCTTTTGGTTACAATCTTTAAAATATCAGCATTAGCAGCATTATTTATCTTGTTTTGGTAATTTTCAGTATTACATATATTTTTATTATATTAAATATTACGTAGAAAGTCGTGAAAAGGTTTTAAATTTATTAAAATGGGAAAATTGTCACGACTCACAACACGACATCAGTGTTGCCAATTCGATATTTTATTTTCGTCCCAAATCACATAGAATGTTGTATTAACTAGAGTAAATGTTTAATATAAAATTAGGGTTGATTATGATATTAATATAATTAAAAAACTATTTCAATGAATACGGTGCTCTGTGGAATACAACGTTTATGATGCTCTGTGATTTGTTTAAAGTAAATAAATTTATTTGTTTAAAGTTTTTACAATTATGTACAAATTTAAAAAGATGTGCCCATATCATTTTAAATTTATATGGATACCTACGTACTTACCTAGATATCTATAGCAGAAAAGAAAATTTAATTTGTAGGTTAGATTAATATTATTAATGATTATAAATAGTTTGTATAAAATATGCTTTTATATTCAAAATTATTAACCTTATTTTTTCATTAGAATAGAATAGACTTTCTTTATTTTATTTTATTAAATGTCTATTAATAAAATTAAAATAAAAGAACAAGTGAACGCTGCAGTATATTTTGTAATTTTTGAACGCAATAAAAATTGTTTCAAATCAACCAACTAGTGTAACAACCCAATAAATTAAAATGTATCCCTCTAAAGGTATAAGCTATCTAATGTACTGACTTTTTAAATTGGTCGGATTAACAATATTCCGCTGCAACTTCATAGTAGTGTTTTATCGATAGAAATGATTTATGTTGCGGTCATTCGACCTTACTTGATCGCATTTTTTAAATTGAAATGATTTCATATTGCATCACAACTTCAACAGAAACAATTTCATATCGTGTTACATAATTAGCCCACTGGACCCTTTATATATAAGACGACAAAATAATGACCTGAATGTTGGACTCGTCCACTCTTCTCACTTTAATACTAGATTTAGATCACGCAACCGTAATTATAACACCTTCTATCTTCAGGTTTACTCAAATAATACTTCTTATTATAATCCAATAGTTCGAATGTGTCGCCAATACAATGAAATTCTTGTCTCGAATAGAAATATAGATATTATCCATTCAACGCTGGTCCAGTTCCGGAGACAATTAAATTTCCACCGTAGAGACAAATTATATTTAACATTGTACCAATTTTCTTTTCTTTAATATAAATAAAATTCTGTTAACATGATAATTCATTGCATTACGTAGTTATATATCATTTTCTATTTAGTTTACTTTTTATTATATAACCTTATCTAGCTATCTAGCGTATATTGAATGCATATATGCCTAAAATATAATTATATTAATTATATTTTAGGCATAAATAGTGTTGGATTACAATCCAGTTTTGTACCGAACTACACGCTCCTAATTATATTATTATATTGATTGTAATCTGTTTTGTATGCTAATAAATAAATAAATAAATTATTTGTATAGGTACCTCAAAGTTTTTCAGATACTCTGTGATTCGAAATTCTAGTACAATGTTGTTTATCCACAGCACCCACCCTCCCCTAACGTGTATTACCAACGCCATTTTTCCGCAGGCATATATGGCCTACTAACTTAGCACTCTGATATATATTTTATTGTACTTATAACATTACTATAGTTATACAGAAATGTAGGTTGGTATAGCAAAGTGTGAGTTGCACCACTGCACCACCATATACAATGACTACGAGATGTCATGTATATAAGCATTACCATTTACTATCAAATGTCCCGTTAGCTTGTTTACGTTGTTTAAGCAATAAGAACTTTTGTACTTTCTTACTCTATAAATTTTATTCATTATTTTCCAGGTACAATAAATTGTAATAAATAAATAAAATTGTATATGAAATATTTTTATTATTTGGTACATTCATATGATAGACTTAACTATAATAATTAACATATAACATGGAATGTAACATTTAAACAATAAGTTTCAAAATCTACTAAACCGAAACAGGGTTGCCTCATTAAAAAATACCATTTAACAAGCAATACGTATGGGATGTGTAAGGCGTAATATAAATTGCTAATTTTTACAATTAAGTTTGCAAGTTGTTTATCATTCTTGTATAAATATTATACTTATATCAGATGGAATGATGCGTTTACATATATTTATATATACATGGTTCGTCAGAAAGGGTATACTAATTCCTAAGAATGTGATAATCCAGAGCCGTAAAAATACTATCTGCAACTTTCGCTGAAACCATACATTTTACGAGAATGTTGTTACATAAAAATACAATAACAACAAAATACTGCATCAACATCAGCTGTCATCAGCTCTATCAGGAACATATGTAAAACATTGATAGTTTTTATGATTGATCAATTACCCCGCCAGCGTATGCCGTTAGCGCAGGCGCGGTCAACATTCCATTATTATCCATAAGGAAAAAAATATTTCCTTGCCAAGTAACTGTGTATATATACATATATAGTTACATATAAAGCTTACAAAATTCAGTTCCTATTAATTGTAGTGTAATGTAAAATATATATAGCCTTCCTCTATAAACTGGCTACCCTGTGGGTACCTCAAACATCCAAACTCACAAACTTTACTTCTTTACAATATTAGTATGAGTGCCACATATTTCAATAATAATTATAAATATTATTAACAATAACCTTTAATTATATAAACATAAGAATCACTTTTTATTACTCTATCGTTAAATTTAGAATGCAAACTCAGTCGTAACGTGGGTTAAACTTGACTGGTACTACAAAACATATCAAAACATATATATCTTTGTTATTAATTTCTGTTATCATCATCTGCTTCTTCCTTATCCCATTCATATGTGGTTGACGTAACATGTTTTTTCTTCGCAGTTATCTCGTTATTTACTCCCTTTCTTACCATATCTTTCACACAGTCCATCCATCTCTTTTTCGGCCTTCCTCCGCCCTTATAACCAACCACATTCATATGTAACACATTGTTATTATCATTTATAAGCTTCTATTTCCACCACGCCACAATTCCTGTCAGTCATTTAAAGGTTGACTGGAAGAAATTCCTCATTTGGGATAAGTCAACGATTGTACAAATTAAATCACACGTTCGTTGTATACTGGTATTTTAGATGTTTATACTGTACAAAGTTAGATACAAACATCTTTATTCATTATTAATATAATTAAACGGGTTTTAACACGAATAATTTTACGGTAAATAAATGTATTTACCTAAAAACTTGTTTATTTATATTAATAATGAGTACCAAACGCGAAAGTTTAAAAATAAGTATCTTTATTGATATTTTAAGAATTATGACAAGTCAAATCTACAGTCACATCAAAAAGTAGTTTTGAAGAGACAACTGAGCAGATCTTGATGAAACTTATAAAACCATACTATCATCTACTATACATACAAATAAAAAAAACATCCACAACGTTTCATAAACGCCTAAGTTATCAAAGTAAACAATAAAAAAATACAACTCCTATTTTCGAAGTCGGTTAGAAATGGCATTTATTTACAATCTAATTCTATACTTTACATCACTATCCAAGCGTCTATTATTTATATCACAACTTCCTCAATTCGGGGGCATCCGTGAACTACGCTTAAATGTAACTTTTTAACCTGTTACCCGACTACGGCGATGCAAAAGTAGAGTTATGGCTTGACATTTTTTGATGAAAAATAATCTTCTATGTTGTATATATTACTTTCATCCATCCACGTCTATCGGCCCCCTTTAACATACCGTTTCAATTGATCACATTTAAATGTGAAATCGATCGCCCGTCCAATTCAAACGGGGATCGAAATTACGACGGCTTGAGCCGAGGTTCGAACCCCTAGCGGTGCTCTTAAACTATAATCATATCCATCAGGCGGGACTTGGCCTTTAGCCGCATTGAAAATCCTGCTGCGGGTTTAGAGTTATATTTAGGATATTCGATAAAAAACCAATAAAAAAAAATTAACACTCCTACCAGTAGGGTAAGAATATGTGACTACATTTCATATTTCTAAACGAACTCTAAAACTAATCAATTTTTTATATAGCATCACACTTTGCGGACCTTTCCCCCTCCTCCCTCCACCCCCTGTCAACCATATGACGTCATCTACGTATCTACCTTTTAGTCAGTAGTCGGGTTACAGTTAATAAACTTATTTTACATATATCTCAGCACTTAAACCCATAGGTTTGTGGGTTACAATTTAACTCGGTTGCGGTTCAGGGTCCACGGGTTCCGTCTTCACTGACACCTGCATGTTCTGTGGAGTCGAGCACGTCATTGGCGCTTGCTTCGAACGCTCCAGATTGTACATCTGAAATGATAAATTGCTATGAATGTTTCAGATTGTAAATTTGAAATCTACACTAATACTGTTCCGCTTCAGAATTAAAGGAATTTTGAAGTTTAGTAGTAGTACGTAATAAATTTCTGAACGCGCCATTTGACAGTTTATATGGAAAATAAAATTGTTATTTTTACTACTTAATTACTACGCAATTTCTTCATATTTTATCCCGTCTAAACCTTCTCTGGACTTCCAGGATTATTTCAAGACTAAAATTAGCCAAATCGGTTCAGCCGTTCTCGAGTTTTAGCGAGACTAACGACAGCAATTCATTTATATATATATAGATAGAGTATAATAAGGCTGAAGAGTATGTTTGAACTCGCTAATCTCAGGAACTACTGGTTCGACTTGAAAAATCCTTTTTGTGTTGGATAGTAAATTTGTCGAGGAAGGCTTTAAGCTATATAACATTACGCTACGAGAAATAGGAGCGGAGCTGCAATGAAAAATATTGTAAAAGCTGTCGCAATAGGGGTGTAGACTCAACAACGGTCGGTATTTGATCACCATTAGGTCATAACGCTCCTAGTAGCGGTAGACAGGTTTCCGCATTGAATATATGTATGTGGTCTCCTCACACATCATGCTAATGATAGCCGAATTAAACAATGACACAAAACAATATAAATCCATTAGGTAATGAAACGGACTATACACAAAATAACAAGTAATTAAATTAAAAAAATTACGATTCAACAAAACGGTATCGCAGGTAGCACTATCCCGATAGAAACCCGCCCCAAGAGGCTGTCAACCCAGTTACCAGGTTACTAGGCCCCAACCTTGACCAAGGCCAGTGTTTCTTCTGCACTCCCCTAGAAGGGTGAAGAAGACCAGTGTACCTCCTAGGAGGGTAAAGTTAGGGTCTCGGGGGATCCCTTTGGCATTCACTGCGAGGGCGACAACCCCAGGTAACTAGGTTGACTGTCACCGATATAGCTGGTAACATTATTTAAAAATTTGACATTTACTCTCCGAGATTAAAAAATATACTAAACTCAATGTTTACACATTTTAATGTTGTTAAAAATAAATTCGCTACCTTCATGAACAACGGCGTTGAGAGTTGTGCGACGCTGGTGGCCTTGCTGAGCGACTCATCCATTTCAGACAGTCGGGGTTCCATTGGGGCCACCTTCTTGGAACAGCGTTTCCTGGCGAGGTGTTCCTCATCAGAATCGGACTGAGGGGGGCGGATCTGATGGGGAAACACTAGCTATGAATATATATGACCATGAATCGCAAACTAATAACCAAACATAAAGCACTGAGTCTGGACGAATATGAATGAGTGAAAGAAATGAATGAATGAGTGAAGTGAATGAAGTGAATGAAAGGAATGAAAGGTGTGAAAGGAATGAAATGAATGAATGGAATGAAGTGCCTAAACCGCTGAATGGATCTTAATGAAATTTCACATATACATCGTATTACGAGCACGGATTGTTATCTATATAACTAATAAAAATCTCAATTATACCTTCCTTGGGCGTCCTGGACCTCTCCTTTTAATCGGATTTGGTAGGGGTGTCGGTGAGCGATCCTAAAATAGAAAAAAAAACAATATATTATACATTATTTTATACTTAAGATGCCATTTTTCGTTGACAGCCTTAGTTGTTTAGCGGTTAAGCACATTGCCTTACTTTCCTATGGTTGCGGATCCGTTTCCTCATACTATACAAACATTTGTAGGCATGGTCGTTTGTATTGAGTTTTCCATGTACATTATGAATGTATTTATATCAGTATATATATATTTATGTCTAGTACCAATTACACAAGCTCTGTTTAGCTTGGGTTTAGATGGCGCTCTGTGTATTATCCTGGGTTATTATTATTTAGTTAAGTAATACAACCGGAAACACTAAACTACTAATAAAATTCTAAACTCAAAAGAAGCATTTTTTCTTTTAGGACCTTTCTGCCATAATGCAGTTTTTTTTGTAATCCTATCGTTCAGTTCGGCAGACCAACTACCAGACCTATGATCTGATGACATTAGGAAGACAGGTCAAACTGGGCAAGATGCGCCACAGATGGAAGAAAGTGGAAAATTATGCAAGAGACATACCTCCAGCAGTGGACTAATATATGCTAAAAGAGAAGAATAGAGAGAAGAGTGCAGTCGGGCTACAGTCTCATTTGGGAACAACTGTCATGAAACTGAACTGGTTGTTCGTTTATCTTTTACCATTATATACTTATTTGTGTTTATGTAACTCACATTTCATTACCTACCCTTCGTTTCCTAATAGTTCTCGTGCCGTCGGCCGACCGGGTGACCATAGACAATCTAGAATCGTTAGACTTTGAATTCATTGAACTATCCATAACTTCCTCCTTGGCCAGAATCCCGCTTATTCTATTTTTGAAAAAGCTGTCCTCCGCCATTTTGAGCGCTTCAAAACACTTGTGACCTTGTAATGCGTATCTTATAATTTTTAGAACCTCGATTCTACACAGTAACCTTGTATCATCGTCCATTTTCTTGAAAAGCGGCAACAGAGAATTCATAAACAATTTATCATCGTCGAAGTGATCATCTGGTAATATGGAATTCGCGTCAATTTTTATTTCTAGCGAGCGACTTTTTAACTCTATCGGCTTCTCTTGAGTGTTCATGGTTGCTTGGTTGCATTTGTCAAGTGTTTCTGGTTTCTCTGGGATATCCGGTTTGGTTTTTAAGTCCAGCGGTTTGTCTATGATCTCGTTCTTTATCTTTGGAATGATATCTTCAGGCGGCGGATGTTGTGGTGAGTTGGACACTTCAGAGAACGATTCATATTTGTCTTGGGAATATCTTGGTTTCCTGAAAAAGTGAAATAGTATATTTATTTATTTATCCACCGACTTTAAACAAATAGGTTTCCATTTCGACAGTATTTTTTAAGGAACGCAAATTGCATGAGAGAATCGTCCCGAAAAAAAATATATACATATATGACTGTAAAATTTCATCAAAATCCGTTCAGTAGTGTTTGCGTGAAGGAGTAACAAAAATCTAACCCCGCATCCATCCATATTCACAAACTTTCACTTTTATAATATTAGTAAGATAGCTAACGATTTATATAAATATAAACACATTTATCCTTTCTAATATTTTAATCTAAAATTTTTACGCTTTCAGGCCTAAACCACTGAACCGATTTAAATGAAATTTGGTACACACATAGTCTAGACCCTGAGAAAGTACATAGGCTACTTTTAAAATTGGAAAAAGGGTAGTAAGGGATTGAAAGGGGAGATGAAAGTTTGTGTGAAATATTGTCATTTTTAAAACTAGAATTTTGAAACTATTTTCTAAGGCTGCTATTTGCTGATTAAATATAAATAAATATGACATTCAAAGTTTGTTAAAATGTTACTCTTAAGGGAGTCGAAAAATTTGGGGATGAAAGTTTGTATGGGAATTCGTCATTTTTGAAACTAGAGCGATAAAACTATTTTCTTTTTTGGGTCAGACAATTGAATAATTTTTCTTTATTTGGTCATTACAATACGCGTACAAAGTCGCGGGCACAGCTATGTATATATGTATATACACATATATACATATAGTTTTTTTTTACATTATGTGTATAACAATCTTACTAATATTATAAACGGAAAAGTTTGTGAGCGTGGATGGCGGGATGAGTGATGCGCTTATACATCAGAATAACATAGGCTATAAATTTCACGCGGATTAAACCGCGAGCACGACTTGTAGTTATGTAAACCATGATATACACTAACTTGCTCTGCAATGCCTTCAGCAGGAACTCCATCTGCTTGTGATACTGGTAGCGACGGCTGCCGGGCTGGCAGTTCTCTGGTGGGATGCACTTGCCCTGCCGGTACGCTTTTGTGTACGAGTCGCGAATCGAACGCCATCTCTTCTGTACCTCTTTACCTGGTGACAAAACGGAATCATCTTTACATATATCCCAAAGTTGAATTAAAAAATGAATTTGTACTATTGTGAACATGCATATTGTAACATTTGTTTGAAAAGAATACGAGCTGAGTTTCTTGTCAGTTCTTCTCATCTCGAAATCATTCCAAACTGACGTTATATTTGACATATCATAGGAGTTTGTAATAGACCTATCATGAATGAAGATATTTTGAATTTGAATTTAAATAGTATACAACAAAGTCGCAGCTGATTGCTTATATCTTTAAAGTAGGCAACGAATGCAGTAATAGACCGAGTGATCCAAGAGGAGAGTTTATATGTGTAATACATACGTTTTATAATATAGAAGAAGCCGAGACATTCAATGATTTGTAAAGCATCCGCGTGCAGCCGGGACGGGTCGGTAGTCAATATCAAAATCAAATCGTACAATAGTTTTCTAACATACATAAAATGGGTATATTAAGGTTGGCAATGCGCGTGACAACCCTAGTGTTTCAGGCGTTCACAGGCTACTATAACCGTTTACTGTCAGATGGGTGGTATGCTTGATTGCCACCATAATAGTATAAAAAAATAACAATACAGTCAAATTACGAAACCTACACATTTTTTTAAAGAAGGTTGAAAAAGAAGAGCATGAAGTTTTATACATATTTTAATGATTATTATGAAACTGTACATACTAAAAAACCTTCAAAATGCATGTATATACTTAATTCCATGCAAATATGGCTAAAAAATAGTAACATAGATTCATATAAACGTTATTTTGTTGAAAGTGACGCAAGCTTGCAAAACGTTAGTTTTTTTTTTTATTTAATATTTTACGGCTCTGGATACAAGTCCTTTTTAGCCCAACATAAGATACAAAACCTAAAAAAAAATTATAATAGTTTAGCGTCGGTGATGCCAGACTGCCACAGTTCTGCCCCCAAATTTGAGGGGAATTTGATCCAATAAGTGTAAATGTGGAAAACAAATGTTTATGTGGATTTAAAATAATACCCCTGCACAATTCACACAACGCCTTAAGTCTCAAGGTAAATTGAGCCTATTATGGGTACTAGACTAAATCATATAAATAACACTACAGGGATTAAGATGTTTTGGATTTTATCTTACAATTTTACTGCCTAATTTGCATCCTGCAACCGAAAGACAGATTACAGAAAGCTGCTTGGTGGCTGAAATAAGTGAGACTGAAATACTCCACACAGACGAATTTTGCAGTCTACCTTTGGTAGTACAATCTTTCTGTACTGGATATTTGTATAAAATGATTTTGGTAGAATTTTAGGCAAAATTTGGGGGAAAACGAGACGATGATCGACGATATCTTAGTTTACCTCTGATAATACAGTCTTTCTGCGCTGATCTGGAGTGCTACAAGATCTGGATTTTGGGGAAATCTCGAGGAAAAACAAGACTATGACCTGGCAATACCATTTGGCGCGAAACGTGGAGTCACGCAGCACCGGCCTTCAACTTGACTCGCTCGTTTGTCCGCAGTACCAGTATATACGACTCGACAAACACGCTTCGTATGTAAACTAAATAATTATCTTAAGATTTAATATGGCAGCCGATAGCACACAACAATATATGTGGAGACGGTCAATTCTAGTTTTATATAATACACATTAACATACAGTTATAAAACTAATATTAAAAAAAATAACAACTACAACTAAACAACTAAATCGATCTTAGTGCAATAATTATTTTTTAATAAATAAAAAAACCCTGGACAATTAACACAACGCCATCTAGTTCCACGGCAAGTAAAGATTGTGCTATAGGTACTAGACAACTGACATAAATACTTAGATAGTTTTTTTTTTTGTAAATACATACATTATATATATAGAAAACACCCAAACAATTATACCAATGAGTACCGTGCGAGGAATCGAACCCGCGACTATCGGAAGTAAAGCGGTGTGCTAAACTGCTAGACCAACAAGGCTATCAATAAATGAAACGTTAATTGAATTGAAGTATATATGAAATTTGGCATGATAATATATTTATTTAGTTATTTTTAAAAATAATGTGTGTATTTTTTATAAGGATAATAATCTCAGGACAATTCACACAGCGTCATCTAGTCCCAAGTTAAGCTAGCTAAAGCTTGTGTTACGGGTACTAGATAACTGATTCAAGTACATAGATTTTTTTTTCATATATATATATATATATATATATATATTATATATACATAGAAAACACCCAGACCGATACAAACAATCATACTCATGAATACAAATGTGCCGTGCGAGGAATCGAACCCGCGACCATCGGACGTAAAGCGGTGTGCTAGACCGCTAGACCACCGAGGTCGTCGGATGATAATGGAGTAATGCTCACGCCTCCGCTAACGGTTTACGCTGGCGAGGCACCATTGGAGGATGATAAGATGATTAAAAATATTATTGTTGTGGTTATTAGTACATTCATATTGGAAATATAAGAACAATTGTTTGCTTTATACAATATAATAACAGTACCTACTACCTACGATGTAGGTATACAAATAATTTTTTTAATTTAATAATACACTTCCAACTTTCTTATACATATATACATAGAAATAGAAATATCTTTATTCAAATAAACTCAATATAGGCATAGGCACTTTTGAATAGTCACATTTTTTTATTTTACCACTCATTCGGAACGCAGTCTCATCACAAGAAGAATGAGCAAGAAAGTTGTGTTGCTCTTTTGAATAGATGTTATTTAAAATAAAATAAATATTAAAAAAACAAATGTTTGTAATGCCATAAAGGTAGTAAACAAGCATATGGCGCATCTGATGGTAAACGGCTAGTGTAGCCTACAAACGCCAAAACCAGTAGGGTTATCACCTGCGCGTTGTCGCCCTTAAGACACCTTAATATAAAAGGGTATTATGTAGATGTATGTATGAATTTATTTAACTACTCATTTAGAGGAAAAACGCACCTACTTTTTTTTATGAATGATAATGGTTTGGTTCACCCGCTGACACCCGCTAACTGCGCTAACAGTATACGCTGGCGGATCACCAGTGGAGGATGATAAGATGAGCATGAGGTCAGGTCAGTTAGCCTATCCTGGCAAATTCACCTGGAATTTAACATGACGGTTTCCAGGGGGTACCGTGTGGAAGTCAACCTAACATGGTACATTGCTAGCAATGGGGTTATCAGTCAGTCCAAATTACTAACGATCCCCTTCCCCCCGAAAGTTGCTATTATCAGGAGTAACTTGGCTAGATTTAGAAATTATATTCGTTAATAAAAAACAAAAGTTGAATGCCAAACGAATACGTGAATAAAAGCTAGTTTTGTATACACAAAGAGTATTACGAAACGAAAGCCCACAATGATGCGTCACGGGCACACAGGATTGTTAATAATGTGGACTAATGAACCCATTGCTAGCAATGTACAATGTCAGGTTGACCTACACGCAGTTTCCCTTGGAAACCATCTTGAAGTCGCTGGTGAATTTGCAACGATAGGCTAACTAACCTGACCTCATGCTCATCATAACATCGTCCAATCGTTCCCCGCCAGCGTAAACCGTACGCACAGGAGGGTACACCATTCCATTATGACTCATAAAAAAAACTCATACTATTTTCATCGACTTTTTTGGTATGTAAGTAGGTACATACTTATTGATAAAGTTACTGATAAAGTTGTTGCGGTGTTTTATAGTTATATCTACATTATTATCTATAAAGAATAATAGTCACTTGAAAGTGTACAAAAAATTTAATTGTTATTAATTAACAATAAGACTTTTTGTTTATATATTTCAAATTTAGGGACTTGTACAAACTAGAACTACATAAGTACATTCCCATTTTACCCTGAAACTAATAACTACATCACTTCACCACTGAGCAAATTGCCTTAGCCGCACTGTCTGAAAACACTGTTATTACTGTGGACTGATGACCCCACTGCTAGCAATGTACCATGTCAGGTTGACCTCCACGCGGTTCCCCCTGGAAACCATCGTGATAAATTCTTGGTGAATTTGTCACGATGGGCTAACTGACCTAACCTCATCTGTTCATCCTCCACTAGTGCCCCGCCAGCGTAAACCGTTAGCGCAGGCGCAACCATATTTTTTTGTGGATAATAATGGAATGATGCCCCCATCATTCCATTATTATCCACAAAAAAATACATCTGTACAAGTTTTTACATGTAAACTATAACTTAATTATTTTTTTAAATGCACTACCCGTATAATCTCCCTTGGCATGGGAGAAAATGCCGTAGGGTGTTAAATCCGCCATAAGTATATTTGTGTATTAAAGTTTTAATAAATAAATAATACTTTCAGTTAATATATTCTAACTTAATTCTTAAAAATCTTAAATATGTCAAGTTGTATAACTTTTATTTTAAAAAGCAACACGCAAGAATCTCAAACTTAATTAGTGGTAGAGAAAATAAAATACCATTAAAAAATACTTAAAATTAAATTTATTTGAGCCTACTGATATGTTATTGAAAGTTTGTGTGTTCGTTACGAAATAGCACGTAGTGTCGCCTCCTAATACAATGTCAATTTTAAAATGTTTCGTCAATATAATTAGTAACAAAGTAAATAGGCTTTGCTTTAATTATTAAAATAGATTCTTAACGTTATGTAAAACAACAAGGTCATTAACATAATAATAGCACCGAAAAATACACGAATAATAAATGTAAACGACAAAAAACCAGTGTAGCCAGATTACCGTCTGTATTTCCCCCAAAGTTTGTCCAAAATTCCCAAAAAGTTGTGATTTTGAAGAATCCTTAGTAATGTACATTGCGTGCCAAAAACTCGCAATTTTATCATTCGTTACAGAAACTGGATCCCCGTTGTTATCAATGACAAATCGATCTCCACGCGGTGCTCATAGAACAATATTATGGGCGAACTGACTTGCCTTCATAGTCATCTTATCATCCACCACTAGTGTCCTACAGACTATACAATTAGTG